GTCACGTGAAAAAACGAGGTTTGTGAACTTCTCTGGCGTTGTATTGTATTGAGTTGTATTTTGTCTCACCTGCCTTCGAAAGCCTCAGTAAGGTCGGGTTGGGTGTCTGGGATTGTGACTGGTCACCATTTCCTTACACTTCGAGAAATGCTCCAATATGACCAAGCGTCTCAAATAGCCTCTGCGGAGGTAGCCCTACTCACTGCCTTCTCGTGGAGGACCAAAGTTAGAGGACGAAAAGCCGACAACCGGAGCTATAACCGGGCTGGTGGACCACTGGTAGTTCACCCAAGGGAGTTGGCTAAAAACCCTGATTCCAAACTAACCAAGAAGAGGCGTAAGAACCACACACACCTTCCTGGTCGCGGCTGTGGTCACCGGCTCAGTTGGGCTCGAGGTGTATTGGGCACTTTGGACGTTTGATCCCGTCGAAAGGGCTATGATCCAGGGAACTGGACACCGGCCTCCGATGGACTTTGGACTCCGAGCTCCATCCTGTAGTCATGCAGGTCTGGCCTTCTAACCAAAGGCTTCGGGTGGGGACCCCGAGGCTAACCCCTGCTTTGGCCAGGGCAACCGGGACGTAACATGCCCCCACAACCCATGAACACATTCTTCAAATTCCTTTCTGTTCATATGTTGTGGCACATTTACCAGTTCTCTGTAATTGGTTACGTGTTGAATAAATAACAATAATATTGTCTCACTTTTACAAACAATAGAGTTTAACTTTGAGTTAAAAGAAGCTATACACGCCAGCCGTCCAAGGAATTATATTCAACGGGGAGAAGGTATTTATATGTATAAGGACATTTCATAGTCCAAGGTTAAAACGAAGTTCACTTATTACCGTCTCTTTGTTTGTGAGTAAATGAGAAAGTTTAGGTATAGGTGAATTTCGATAAGCGTTTATACGAGGTGAAATTTGGCGGAATCGAATGCGTATGAAGAGATGGGGATAAAAACGTCTCAGTTCTGCGGGAAATGGGTGCTCACGATCTGAGAATCCTCTCCGCAAAGTTGACGATGGATGTTGTAGGATACTGTAGGAGTTTGACAATTAACTCGTTCACAGGAATAGAAGGTGCTCGGCTTAAAATAGTTAGAACGCGATGTAACTTTGAAACCCTGTTCAAGTAAGCCAGTAAAAATAACGAGGGGAAACACACTGATACACAAAAGTAGAAATAACTGACTGGGACCCGCGGAACTGCCTGAGCTTTCGTATTTGAAATGTTAGGCACCGCAGTTTACCGATGCAGTTGTGAATATGGGTTGACCAATGAAGATTGTTCTCTAAGGTTACACCAAAATAATAGACGGATTTTACTCTAGATGAGGGATTGTTATTTATCACTGTGGGGTTTATCGGGTATGAAGAGCGTACAAAATTATATAAGCATTTAACACATTTACTGGGGCTTAAATTTAGCTTCGAATGGGAGGAAAATACAGTCAATCTCTTGCTATGTCGCACCCCGGAGAAGTCGCATTTTCCAATATCTACCCACTTTTTCGAAAACCCAAACCAACCAACCAACTTAATAACGTAGTTTCTGATTATGCAATTTTGCACCCCTCAATATGTCGCAGTTCCTGATACGTCGTTGATCGATGTTCGGGACGAACATTGACTATCCACCCTGAAATGTCGCACTCAACCAATGACGTTGTACCTAGTGTGAGGCGTTCATTGCACTGTTCACTGATTGGATAATCCTTGCTAGGAAGACACACTGGTGCAAGTGATCTGAGGCAGTGTCAGTTGAAGTCAAAAAGTGCAAGTGCCTATCGATCAGAGAGAAGCATAATGTGTTGAAAATGCTGAATCAGCCAGGTGCAACTCAGAGCTCCGTAGCCCAATCATTTGAAATTTCACGAAAAATTGTCTACAATTTTCTATACCATCGAACGACTATGGGGGGATTTTTGAATGCTGAACCATCTCGGAAAAGATACCACCTGAAAACCAATGAAAACTTCAAGGCAATGAATGAGGCAACTTTGGCTTGGTTTACTGATATGAGGAAAAAGCACGGAGAGTTCCCAATAGTGGAGAGCATCGTACGTAAGAAGGCAATCCAGCTTGTGCAAAGATTGCATCATAATAACTTCAAGGCTTCCAAAGGTTGTTTTCGCTCTTGGTCAAACAGTAAGAAGCAGTAAGAAACAAGCAAATCATGTGCATTACTTTATAGGTCTGTAGGGAAAATTTAGCGGTACCACGTGATGCAGTGGACAAGTTTCGAGCGGAGTTGCCGCGGCGTTGTATGGTAAGCGGTTGAGTAGAGTGAGATGTCAGATCCGAGCGGTCAATAACCACCGTCGCGCGGACGCGCCTGTATGAATTAATGAACGACACTCAATTGTCCTAGAGCACCGATGAAATTAGACAGGTCATTTGCCAAAGGTCATTGTAACCAGGGTCTAAGGGCAGTTTGTGAGATGCACTTTTAGTTTAATGAATCGAGTTTTCATAATTCCTTCCTGTAGGCTGGCATCTACTGCTGGTGAATGTTTGGATTAGCCCATTCGGTTTTTCATAGGTATAAGGCACTGTTGATGACGTTGATTACGGGTTTCACTCCTTGGGAGATCGTTGATGCCCCACTACCTGTACTTGAAGTTCCAGTCCGAAGAATAGCGGTTTGAGTCCTGACAGGGACACAAAAGTACGCACTGCTGACGAGTCCCAAACAGGACGAAACAGTCTGTCCAGTGCTCTTTTTGATTATCACGAACATTTTCATCGTATTTAAATGGCATCCATGGCCTTCGGTTGGCTGAACAGGAGCAAATTTCTTCCAAGTGAATCCCCGTCTCACGCCAGCCAGAGAACCCGCTTATAAAAATAGTGCGTGTATGTAAGACGAGTCAAAAGTTGGCCCAGTGTCATCATCGCTTGAAATTTTTCATTCCGAATCTCCCACATGGTGCATCGTTCCACAACTCATTCTCCTATGGTGATTCTCTACCAACAATTAAGAAGTATCGAATTCATAACTTATCCTCCTCCTATGTCAACCCGAAAATTCCATGACCGATCGGGTTCGTTTATCGATCGGTCGGATAGGTCACCGCAACAAAAGACCTTGCCCACTTAACTTGAGCGAGAAACTACACCCTGTCTACAACAGCGAGTCTTTAGGAGACCCAGTGAACTTCGAATGTACATCAGCTGTGCCTTCACCACACGGATGGACTGCACATAACAATAAGATGTTCAATGTTCAATGTTCATCCATTAGAGGCTGTGGGAAACTTCCCGTATGAGCCTCGTCACGACAAACTGCAAGAATGCATTCAGGACTGATCTGCATTCCAAATTTCGCGAAGAACTTAGTCGAGCTTCCTCTTGAACATGATATCATTTATCTCGTCCACCACATCGGCTGGAAGGGAGTTCCATAGGTTGGTTACCCTGTGCGATAGTCGATACTGAAGAGGTAATCCTATCGACGGAAGCTTCAGTAGCGTAAGTCTGTGTCCACGAGTCCCTCTCTGCTCACGCAGAGGTAAGTATTCCATTAGCTCTGGGCCCATGTAACCACGTAGAATACATCGTACATATTTGATGTCACCTCTCACTCGGCGATATGACTCTGGGAGCAATCCAGTAGCGTGCAATCGTTCAGTGTAGCAACACCCACGTAACCCGGCAATCGTGTGAGTGGCAGCTCGTTGGACCCTCTCCAGCTTTACAATTTCAGCAGTTGTACACGGATATAACTCTGCGCTCGTGAACTCCAAACGAGGTCTGACATGTGAGGTATACAACGCCCTGAGACCATCGTATGAGGGCCTGGAAAAGGAACGGCGAAAGGCTCCAAGGATGCTTCAACTTAAGGCGAAGGCTTTGTCTGTCTGTACCCTGGTTTTTAACGACGTGGAAACCAGCACCCCGAGATCCCGTTCGAATGTGGATGCAAGTAAGGGAGTGTCCATAAGGTGGTGCACTCTTGAACGGGGCTACCGGCCAATGGACATAATGGCACTTCGTAGGGTTGGTGAGTAAATCCCACGCTCTCGACCAGTGCATCAAAGAATCCAGGACTCTCTGCAGGGTGTTCAAGTCACTTTCTGACTGGATAGGTCTTCACATCTTCAGACCGTCTGCATACAACAGACATTCCGATTCCAGGTAGTCCGGCAGGTCATCGATGAAAATCAGAAACAGTATTGGCCCCAGTACCGATCCTTGCGGAACGCCACTAGAAACCGTCAACCATGATGATCGTGCCCTTGACGCTTTCACCGAGAATAGTCTGTCCCTCAGAAAGTCCTCAACCAAGGAGAGCAGCGGGTCCTGGATACCCATCGACCTAAATTTCACCAGTGGTTTCGAATGAGACACCTTGTCAAACGCTTTGCTGAAATCCACGAACACAACATCCGTGGAATAACCTTCAGCTTTATACTCTGCCCGATGCTTATGCGCCACCAGGAGATTGGATAAACAGGAGTGACCCTGTCGGAAGCCATATTCTAGAGAAGAAATACGATGTTGCGTCTCCAGGTGACTGATAATGTGCTTCGCCACTAATTTTTCTAGCACCTTACATGCCACACAAGTTAAACTCACGGGTCGATAATTGACCGGGGCATGCTTATCACCACCTTCGAACAAGGGAACAACCAGTGCTTTCTTCCAGTCCGATGGTAATCTGCCAGTCCGGAGAGATAAGTTGAACATTTAGGCTAGCGGGGTTGATGCGACATTAACCAACTCCTTCAGAACCAACGGGTGAACTCCATCTGGACCCGGGGATTGGTGTTGATGAATTCTACGTAGTACCTTGGCAACGTCATTGGCCTCCAGATAGGGGACACTGATTGGGAGCACGTCAGGAGGGTGTGAACACAAAACCCTATGAGGGGGTGAGGGTGACGAATTTGAGATCTCTGCTCCTGTGTAAACTAAAGCATAATGCCGAGCAAGTACACCAGCCTTGTACACATCAGTGTCAGCAGTGATTCTATTCTTGATAAGACTCGGGAGTTCAGGTACTGTCCTGGTTCTCCTTTTCAAGTACGCAAATAGCCTCAGCAGCTAGACGCTCCTCAAAAGCACGGCGTTTGGTCACCTTAGCTGCCGAACACTGGTTCCGTATTAGTCCGTATTCATCGTAACCTGCATTCAAAGTACAGTAGTGCTTCCAAGCACGATTTCTCCTACGGAGCATACTTATAAGCTCACGATCGAACCAGGGTGGTCCCATGTCGTGAGGCCGGCTCCTGCGTACAGGGGCCAATCGTTGCACCATCTGTATTAGACAGTCCTGGATGACACACCACGACTCTCAGACATCTTTGTCGATCGGCTCCCGGTTTAACAACTGCGCTGCGATATGCATGTCATTGAACTGTATTCGCCATACCTTCCGTCCCTCTGGGGGTGGTTGTGAGAATGGGGTCCCACGTCTCCAGCATAAAATCAACACCACATGATCACTGGCATCGAAAGGTGGGAGAAACTGGATGTTAGATACGTCTGAGACACGAGGAGTTAGAACAAGATCCAGTGTGGACAATTGCTGACCAAGACTGCGTGCGGTTGGGTTCCTGGAAATGTTGATGAAGAGCGAGTTCACAGACTGTTGAATGCAATTCCCGTGAGAAGTGATCAGCAGACGTGGTGTAACAGTTTGAGCCCCGGTCTATGTGTGGTGCATTGAAGTCCCCGAGCACTATACAATGACCAGTCGCAGCCCAGCGCCTCGTGAATTCTAACAATNTGCTGGAGTCCTGTACACGACTCCTACCACAGTATAGCCGTTGCGGGAAAGTTTAATGTTGTACCACAAACATTCCGAGAGCCCCTGATGGTCGACATGCACCTCCAGAAGATGTGATGCTAGCTCCTCGCGAATGTATTCCACCTCCCCCCACCGAATTGGGTTCCGATCCACCCCAAACACAAAATGTACAAGACAATGTGAAACGATGGAGTAATCGTACTATCGTACTATCCACATAGGAACATGACATCTTAAATTGATACTGGGACATCTTAAATTGAAAAAGTTATGGTTTATGAATCACGGTACGGCATCGTGTGCCGAACTTGGTCCGACCAACGACGGTCATGATTAAAGCCTCAGGCGGTTTGAATATACACTGGTAACAACAAAAGCGAACGAACAAATAGATGTGTACAGACGCTAATGGTACACTTTCATCGGAAACCCATGAATAGATTGCACAACGAGCAGTTTGAATATGGGAAAGAAATGTCAGTGTTCTGAGTACACCCCGGAACAGATAGTTCATTTATTTTAGATGTTATTTCCTTCTCACTGTATTCGAACTGATTCACCTTTATTTTCCTTGAATGGGTTAGTACTGATATGATTATTATAGCTAAAACATTTGTATATTATGGTGGACGTTATATAATCAATTCTGTGGTTAGCCTAACATTGCAACGGAATGGAGGAATATCTAGAATTGATATGGGATAATTGAGTCAGAAAACATTCCCCTGAAGAAAGTTAGGTAGTTTCGGGATAACTAGACACAGAACTGGAAAAGGACTGAATACCGCACGCAATATCGATTTACTCCCGGGTATGCAGACGACATTGTGCTACTAAATGAAGATTCAGGTAAGTTGTAAGCTTTTCTGGATGGTTTGAGTGCTAGTGTAGCGATATTCGGCATGCGCTTTGCACCTTCAAAGTGTAAAATGCTAGTACAAGATTGGGTTGGCCCAGCACCCAGTCTCACCGTGATCGGAGAAGTAGTAGAGGAAGCAGACAAATCTTTGTATCTGGGCAGCTATATCTCACCTGGCAGACGCATCACAGATGAAGTGTCAGCGCGCATACAGAAAGCTCGGTTGGCATTTGCCAAATTGAGACATTTGTGGCACTGTCGCGACATCTGGCTGTCTGTGAAGCGTCGAGTATATGTTGAAGTAGTTCGGCCAGTCCTGCTCTACGGCGCAGAGACTTGGCCATTACGGGAACAGGATAGAAATAGACTGTCGATGTTCGAACACCGCTTTGAACGAGTCTGGTGGGGTAACCGGACTAGCAATGCTGAGGTTAGGCTTAGAGTTTTAGGCAATTGCGGTCGTTCACTGGAACAGGTAGTCGACCCCCATAGATTACGCTGGTTGGGACATGTGCTACGCCTGTCACCAGATAGGTTACCAAGGCGAGCGGTGCTTGGCAAGTCAGGTAGCGGTTGGAAAAAAATGAAGGGCAGTCAAAATAGCATGAGGGTATGAAAACCCTGACCAAGAGACTAGGTCACATAGGTTCCGTTATACTCCCTGGCTGGGAAGCCAGAGATCATGATCACCGGTGGTTAGAGACACTGAGCGACATGGCTGGGTGTCGCAAACAGTGGCGTTCATGCATCTACTCATTATTCTTGTAACTTCGTTCTATGAAAGTGTGTTACCTTCCGCTTGAATCTGATCTCAACATTCTAATCATCATTCTGATGTTTTATCCAAGTGGGCAACCAAAAGACAGC